CCGCCGGTTGAGCCGGCCAACCGGCCAACCGGGAAACCGGGCAACCGCCGGTTGAGCCGGCCAACCGGGAAACCGCCGGTTGAAAACCGGCGAAACAGCGAAGCACAAACCAAACCGTGTTGATTCCATGTAGGCAGTTAGCGCAACCCCCCCCCCAACACGCACGTAATGAAGGAACTTCGTCACACCTTTCTGCGATTTTTGACTCTGGTACCGGGCAACCGCCGGTGTGGCCGGGCAACCGGGAAAGGTGTTCGAAGTTAATTACTTCATTACGCGCATGTTGGGGGGGGTTGTGCTAACAGTCTACATTGAATCAACACGGTTTGGTTTTTGGAATACTAGCAAAACTTACACCTGCTGAAGGCCTCTTTAAACACTCGTTTCTGCCATACAGGAATTTGGATGTTAGAGTTAATGTTAGAAGTCACGTTGGGGTTTATGTTGTTGGTGCATAGGCTAGTCTGCATAGTATGTATGAGTGGAACTTCAAGACGCCGTAACTGTTGCCGATGCTTGTGCAATGTGTGAAGCGCTGCCAACTCTGTATGGTATAAGAGGACGGATGTTGGAGATAACTGATGTGAGAAGGCTTGAGGAGTTCGATTAAGGTAGCACGGCTACAATTCCCTCACTTGGGTGCCCAGCATATCAATCACCAGCACCATCTAACGGTTTGTGGCACGTTTCATTTCTTGGCACACTTGGTACTGCTCGCGTCGAATACTAATCGGATCGCAGGCTGCGGATCTGGCTCTCAGCTCCATGTGCAATATTTTTCCTCGATCTCACTTCCACACAGGCGTGCGCCTCTCTTTGGGCGTAGGGTCCTGAGCTGAAGTGTGCGCAGAGGAAATTATTGAATTTCAGTGCTGCAGTTCGCTGCAACTAACGCTGCTGCTTACCATGCAGCCAAGTTTGCGCTCAAAACAGTTCAAAACAACTTCCTTTGGGTTTTGGGACCGATGGAAGGAGCGCTTGCGACTTGGAAAAGTGTCAGCGCCTAGAACGCAGGTAGTTGTGGCGTTTGTTGTCAAGAGGACAGCTGGTGAGAAAAACAACAGTGGTAAGGGTCAATGTACTTGGAAGAAATTCGACACTGTCATTTCAGCTTGGGTTCATGCAAAGACCCGGGCAAAGTGGCCGTGCGATCTTGATTAGATGGCTTGATTTTGAATGGGGTCTCTATGACTAGAGAATCCGGGAACATCTCCAAAAACGGAGGTGCCAAAGTTTGACATCTAAGCTTTCATGGATAGGGCGACCCTTCTCAACAAACACGTTTAACATGTCAAAGAGGTGCACTTTTTGTTTGGTCGCCACCTGTGGAGCTTGATGAGCTTAGCTGTAGGGATGCAAACGGCCAAACAGCTTGCAAGACAAGAGTCTCTCGAAGAGCGTCGCGCAAGAATACCAGCAGCTGCATGCCCAGCCAAAAGAACACCAGCCAGCTGCATGCCCAGCCAGTGTCAATTTTCCTTGGATGGCGCATTTGCCGGCCCCGGCCCATTCGCGTCAACGGCGCCTCAGCAATCTCGGCTTCCAGGGCCGCTGTGCGCATCTGCGCCGCCCACGCGAACTCTTGTGCCTCGAAGCCACGCGCATTATGGTTGTAAGCATATCTGCGAGTGTTGCGCTGCAGCGCGACCAGCTAAGAGGGGTTGTGATGGAATGAACTACCACAACTTCAGGGAGGATGCCCCCAGGCATCACCCCTCGCTACACAAGCTGCTTTGGTGACGAAAGTTTTTTGGGGCGCATAAAGCAAATAGCCCTACGCTGTCACAGCTCTATACTGCTGTGCTTCGTGTGTTTGAGCGCCTCACCCTCAACTTGGCACAAAGGTTCAAACAGAACCGAGAACACTTGGAGGGTGTGCAGCAAAGCCGCTCCAAAACAAAGAAGCGTAAAAGGCGGTCTTTAGCTCAACTCCCCCTTCTCTGAACCCAGCTGTCCTCGAAAAAGGCTGCGCGCCGCAGCCATGCGTTCCCACATCTAGGACCCACAAGTACCACAAGTATCCGCAACTATATAGTTGAGCGTGGTTGTGTTTTTTAAGTGTTTGTTCTAGCTTATGTCCTTTCTTTCTTGAAGTAGAATTCAACCACAATCACTGACTGCCCTTCCATGTGAGGGCTCGCACTC